ATTTCAGCAATTTAGAAACACACACACACACACACACACACACACACACACACACACACAATCTAGCATAAACCCTAGCTATCACATCTGGAAATGCAAGGCGTATTTCATCAGTCAGATTAGGATTCGGGTGAATGGAGATGCATGGAATAAAAGACGCACGCATGTATCTTCTGAGTGCGTGCACCACCCCAAGTAAGCATCTTTTAAATTTTCCTGCATATGACCTCTCTTGATTTCCTCCTAACCTGCATTCATGCAACATTCGATACTTGAAATGCTGCCCTACTTTCCTGTCTCATCTAAAGAAGATATATTAGGAATAGTCACGACACGTTTTTTGCGGAGCACCCTGCAGTGTGGCAGCAGAGAGTGTGTGCACAGTAACCTGGGCACACACTCACAGGTGTACTCAGAGTGGGAGCCGGTTTGAATGAAACCTTCTTGTTGCTTCTCTCATCCACAAGCATTTCCTTACCAAATCCAGTGGTGATGTCTCACAAAACCTGGTTTTCAAAAGCAGCCTCTTTTGTGGGGCAATGCGGCGCTGTGTGTGCGCTCCCCCTAGGAGGAAAATGTCTTTTCCTCTCTGCATGCTTTTAGCACTGCAGGTACTAATTCGTACTCGAGGCTGCCTGGCTGTCCCCAGAGGAACTTGAGACCATGCATAAAGGTACTTGCAACACCCATACTGCAACCCTCATCACCAGGCACATGCCACCCTCCTGGGCACTCGGGAACGCACTAGGCATGCACACAATAAGAATCCAGGCCCAGCCACTCCTTCCTAGCCCACTTGGTCCTAGCTCCACAGCCAGTCCTGACAATGACAAGCGCCTCTCCCAGCTCCACTGCCCGGGCTGTCCATCTCCAACAACAAGGAGATGGAAAGCCTGGCGGGCCCAGCTTGCCAGACTCCCTGTTTAAAGCCGGGTGGCACCAGACAAAAGAGGCAGGAGCCAGCAGCTCCGAGACCGCGGACACACAACGCCCGGGGCCGGTCCAGACAGGCCAGCCCTAGGCAGCCGCCTTTCGAGGAACAGCGGGCGGGGCTGCTGCCGCCCAGTGGGGTCCACCCTGGCCAAGGCCACCAGGGCTGCGGGCAGATGGCACCGCGGGGCCTGCCCGCTCCTTCCCCAGCCCAGGCAAAGCACGCACCGG